GCATCATTCCCATCTGGTACAAGACATTAAAATATTGAATATAATCCCCAAACAGAAATTAATATATCTGCAGACAACATAGGATTCTATTCAACTATATCTCCAAAGTGCCAAACAATGTCTTCCAAACATTCTGCCATTTTATCTCAATGCAAACAAGCATTTCAAATGGAACAACTACCCATGTTTTCTGCAAATATTGTGATAATATGGTAGTTTGCCAAAGTTCACATTTCAGGGAGGAAATGGCATTTATAAAGCAATAAAATAAGTGATAGTTTTCAATTAAGTATTAATATATGTGATAAAAATGAATTCCTACATCATAACCAAGTTTCTTGAATTGGAATTCTACTATTTATATATGTATATCCATATGCACAAACACACATACATATTCACTTTAAAAGGAATGATGTGCTGTTATTAATAAACTGAAGGTATTTTGATGGCTTATGCACATGAAAAAGTTTCCTTTAAAAGAAGTGTGAAGATAGGTTCCTGAAAAGACTAAACATGAAGTTTTCTTATGCCCTACCAATTCCACTCCTGAGCATTTATCCAGTGGAACACAAACAAGGTCTCTCTAAAGCCCACAGCACAATCATGTTCATTGCACCACTACTTACCATTGTCAAGGTCCCTCAGTGGGTGAATGGATCTAGAAAAGTTGGTATATATACCCAATAGAAGTCTACTCATCAGGGGCTGGGAAGGTGGCTCAGTGGTAGAGCGCTTGCCTTGTATACCTGAGGCCCTGGGTTCGATTCCTCAGCACCATATAAGCAAAAAGAAAAAAGCCAGAAGTGGCGCTGTGGTTCAAGTGGTAGAGTGCTAGCCTTGAGCGGAAGAGCTGAGGGACAAAGCCCAGGCCCAGAGTTCAAGCCCCACCACCGGACCCCCCCCCCCCCCCAAAAAAAGAATTCTACTCATCAATTAGAATGATATTGTACCATTCATAGGGAAATGGAAACATTTGGGAAAAAATATATTAAGATAAGTAAGTCAGACTCAAAGAAACATAGGTTGTCTGGTATTCCACATTTGTGGCAATGAGAATGTGCCATGAATCTACAAGTAAAAATATTGAATGGTATTATACAAAGTAAAAACATAAACAACAACAACAAAAACACAGGGACATGATATGATATATACCTCTCTAGGCATTTACATAGAGTGAAACCAAGAAGGATATTCTTAGGAGATGATCACAAAGGCACAATATCTATGTGCATCTGATCACATAAAATAATATTTATCAAAATGAACTCCAAGAAATGAAAACAAAAGGTTTAATTCTTTGCTGCTGATTTTGTTTTCTTTTCCTTTTGCCTTTTTGTTCATTTATCTGCCTTTGGGATGGTAAGTGGGGCACAGACACAGTAGGACAAATAGTAAACAAATACAATAAGATAGTCATTGGGCACTTTGTTGAAAATAAACTATACAACTTCTGGGTGGGGACAGGAGAGAAAAACTGGGAGAGAGTGAGGGGAAGGGTGACATTGTTAAAAGAGAAATGAACTTTTTATCTGACTTATGTAATGGTAACCCTTTTACCTTAACAATAAAAAACAGTAAAAATTAAAAAAATACTTTCTGGCCAGGTACTGGTGGCACATGCCTATAACCTTAGTTTCTCAGCAAGCTGAGAAAGAGAAGACTGTAGTTAACAATCTGTGCTGAGAAGTCCAGGAGACTTTGTCTCCAAAACAACCAGCAAATTGCAGGCTTGAAGGTATGGCTCAAGTGGTAGACCATCAGCTAAGCAAGCAAACAGACTGAGCTTGAGGCCCTGTTGGTGAAAACAAAAGACAGTTTTGTTTTGCTTGTTTTTGAGCCAGAGAAACGTCATCCAAAATGAAAACTGAATCTAGTCAGAAAACAATTTAAAAAATTATGAAATGGGGGGTAATATGCCAAGCATATATGATGAATGGAATTAATCAAAGAAATGATGTCAATCATTTAGCCAATCATTTATCTATCATATATTCTCAATTGACAAAAATGCACAACTGATTATAATATTGTAGTGTTACCATAGAAACCACCCAAATGTACTAGTGTCTGAATTTCCTTAGTACACCATGAATTAAGGTACTTCTCAACAATGATATTCTTTAGATAACTGGGTAAAGGTTACAGGGAGAACTTATTTTATACTATGATTCTTTTGGTACATCCCAACATACAATGCTACTTTTTGGAAAATGCCAAAAATGTATAGATTGTAGTGTATAGCAACCAAGGGACAGGCTCATTCCTTTTCATTTCAGAGTATTGCTTTATTCCTGTAATGCTTTGGCTGAAAAAAAAAACTCTCATAATTTTAAAGTGAATGTGATCTTTAATGTACCAAGGGAATTAGCTACTATTATGAGTAATAAAAAGATATATTTATTAAAAAAGAAATTGCACATTTTAGCATTAAATATCAAATACTTTGCCAGGTACCAGTGGCTCACACCTGTAATTCTATTCAGTAGGCTGAAATTGAGTATCACATATCAAAGAAAGCCTGGTAGACAAGTCCATGAGACTCTTACCTCCAATTAGCAATCAAAAAGGTGGAAGTAGAGCAATGGTTCAAGAGATAGGGCATTAGCCTTTAGTATATAAAAAGCAGAGCAACAGCATGTAGGTCCTGAAATCAAGCCCCAGGACTGGCTCAAAACAAACAACAACAACAAAACTACTTTTCAAAGTATGAAATTGAATTTAATTTTTTTTTAAGTTTATACATTTGTAATCTGTTGGATTTTTGAGATACTTAATATTTTGCATGACTTTTTTGTGGTTGTTGTCGATTGTGGAGCTTGAACTCTGGGCCTGAGTGCTGTCCCTCAGCTCTTCAGCTCAAGGCAAGCACTCTACCACTTGAGCTACAGTGCTACTTGCAGTTTTCTGGTGGTTTATTGAAGACTGCCCAGGCTATCATTGAACCATAATCCTCAGATCTCAGCCTGCTGAGTAGCCAGGATTACAGGCGTGAGCCACTGGCACCCGGCTTGCATGAAATTTTAAAACTGCATGTGAAATGCAATAGGTCCACATAGAAGACTCAAAATAATATTGAAAATGATTAGAGAGTTCCTTAGGCGATTTCTTTAATATCAGGCTGGTTTAGGACAGCTCATTAAACACCGATATTATTTAATTAGATGCTATTATTATTTCTCAAGTAGTAGAGTTAGCTTTGAATAGAAAATAACAATTTAAGCAATTTTTGTTTGAATTTACTGGAATGGTCTGTGCTTCATTAGCTTACTAATAATGAGGGTTCAATTTTCCCAAACTTTAGAGATCTATGATTTAATTATACTTGCTTAACTATAATAAGTTGATCACTATTCTTATAAACATGTCTTGATGTTTTCAATAAACAAAATACTCAGTGAAATCTACATATTAAACAATATATCTGGGTTCTAATAAAGCTGTTACTATCAAGAGGCAAAGAATATGTTTTATTATAAGCATAGTGTAGACATTTCCATAATCACTCAAAAGCTCAATTTTATTTTCCTTTGAAAAGTCTTATGAGTAATAAATTATTATCCACATTATTTTAGGAGAGGTTAAGTGACATACACAAGATATCAACATACAGAAGTTTCAAAGCTTGGGCAAACAGAATCCTACCCCAGTGACAGGCAGAGAATTATAAGGTTGACAAACTACAAAATAAATATTAATTTAAAACAGTTAAAGACATTCACAACTTTTTAAGTATGTAGACTTTTTTATCTTTGGCTTTTTAGCTATTTTGTATAGATGAAAACTACATATTTTATATACTCATAACTAGCTAACTTTATCCTCATATCACTCTCAATATACTAAATCTTATTAGAAATAGAGGTCTGATTTTTTTTTTCCAATCCAAAATGGACATTACAAATTCACTTATTTTTATACATGAATCCTATTGTGACCTCAAGTTTTTATTAGGAATAAATGCAAAATTCTATCAGATATCTTTTTTAACATCTAATGGAATATTGATATATTGAAATTGTTATTAGACATTACCAATTACCAATATTCTAATTTTAAAACTGTCTGGCCTATTTGGGTAAGCCCAATTTACTGGAGTCCTTACTAGAGGGAAGGGGAAAGGCCCATGTCAAACAGGAACTATAAGAAGTCACAGAGGTCAGAGAAAGCAATGTGGAGATGTCAGATTGCTGACTTTAAATACAGAGGAAGAAAGTAAAGTGTCCTTTGTTAGCTACAAAAAATCAAAGAAACAATTGTTTCCTAGAGTCTCAGACAGAGTAGCTTCAATTAGAATTTCTGACCTCTAAAACCACCAAACAATAAATTTGTTTTGCTTTAAGCAGTTAACTTTGTGAAAATTTGTTAGAATAGCTATAGCAAACCAATAAAAATAACGCCTATATTAATATGATCTAATAATTCCCTTTTACATAACAAAAGCTTACAGTTTCCTTTTCCAGGATTTTCAGAGTTACTGTTCAAAAGGGCATGCTTAAAGGGACACTAAAGAAATTAACTTTCAAAACTTCAAATCCTGGTGATATTTTCGCTATTGATAGTTCATCTGTGGAAATGTGACATCTCATCATTGCAGTGGATGAATTATGTCTGGTAAATAGATAGAAAAGCAGTTCAATAAATATAACAATATTCTTAAGTAGTAAACATAGGTTTTCTGAACTGTGCATTAGCACCTGAAAGCCAGGGCAGGTAGCTAGTTTTAGACTTTGAAGCCATTACTACAATTGAGGGGCCTCCTTCACCAAGCCTATCCCCTTCAACCTTATTTTTTTTTAATCCCATGAATCATTTCATAAAGCCATTTCAAACCTTATAAGGCAGTGAGAGATAGTCCATTACTCAGGAAATAACATGTAGCATTCAGTATTATGGAATGACCTCTTTTGAGGATTTCTAAATTCTTAATACCTTGGCAAATCACACTAGAAACATTCACCTCTAACAAGCACAATAAAGCATCATCCATTCATTACCTGGGTAACAAGTGGCTCCAACAGCCTTTCCACTGTCAATGTCCGGATTTCCAAACTTTTGGGATCCCATTTTAAAATGATAGGTGAAGTTGCCGAAGTCATGCTCCCTAAGAGAAAACATGCTATGAGTTAGAAATAATGTTCACAAGCCGGGCTTGTAGCTCACGCCTGTAATCCTAGCTATTCAGGAGGCTGAGATCTGGGGATCATGGTTCAAAGCTAGCTGGGGCAGGAGACTCTGTGAGACTCTTATCTTCAATAAAACCACTAGAAAACTGTTAGTGGCACTGTGGTTCGGGTAGAGTGCTCGCCTTGAGCTGAAGAGCTGATGGATAGCGCCCAAGCCCAGAGTTCAAGCCCAACAACCAACAAAAAAAAGAAAAAAAGAAATAATGTTTACAAAAGTAAACCAAATAGCATAGGTGTTCCAATGAATAAATCACTAAAACTTGCAACTTGTTTGCGGATTATATGTTTGATCCAACCATGTCATGTTACAGATGGCAAAACGAGATCCCTTACGTGGAAGGGTAGAATGCTGTAATCAGAGAAAAAACCAGAGAGGATAGGAAAGGATCGGGAATATGTTGGAGGGGTAAATTTATTCATCCACTTAACGTGTATAATTCAGGGGTTTTTCAGTATGTTCACAGAACATACTGATCAGCAATCAAGTCTAGAACATTTTCTTCAGCCCTAAAATAAACTCTAGGTCCTCTCAACAGCAGCCTCTAACTGTCCCATCTCTGTTTGAGGCAAAACAAATCAATTTTATAGCTGAATAATTTTAACCTATTCTGTACACTTCATATACATGCAACCATGCAGGTAGGTTTCTATATCTGATCTATTTCACTTATCATATATTTTAGGGTTCACTATGTTGTACAAAGTGGTAATATTACATTCCTTTCATGGCTAGGTATGTTATAAGATGGGTAGACATGGATAGTTTGTTCATTGACATTTTACATGATTTCTACTTTTGGGTTATCATGAATGATGTTGTAATGAACATTTGCTCACAATTTCAAGGGTGTGTTTTCAGTTCTCTTAAGTGAATGAAGTGTTTAGTATGTGAAGTATAGCTCAAAAAGTCACAATAAAACCTGGACATCTGTGGCTTACACCTAAAATCCTAGTCATTAGGGTGGAAATCTGAGAATTGAGGTTTGAAGCCAGCTAGGGAGAAAAATCTGTGAGGTGCTTATCTCCAATTAACCAGGAAAAAGTTGTAGGTAGAGGTGTGGCTCTAGTGATAGAAACCAGAGTTGACTGAAAAAGCCAAATAAAATGACAAAGCCCTGAGCTCCAGCCTCAGAAACAGCACAAAAATAAGTACGTAAGTAAATAAATAAATAAAAGCATGAAGCATAATAATTTTACAAAATAAACACTGAAATACCTTAAATATGCATGTGAAAAGTAAGAAAAAGCACAATTACAATTAGAATAGTGACATGAAGCATTTAGTACATATATTTATGTGCTATCTTCTGGTAAAACATTGAGTCTGGTTCTTACATAATTTATAGCTTAAAATTCCAGACATTTAAATATGCAAGAAGCTATTTATGCTTCAGTGTGATATATGTTGTATATGTATCACATGTATGTGTTTATGCATAAATAGAGAGGGAAGCATGGGGGAATTGAGCCTCTAGTCCTTGCTTCTCAGGAGTCTGAGATCCAGAGGATCCTAGTTTCAAGCTAGCCCATGAATCAAAGTCCAATGATTCTATCTACAAAATTACTAGCAAAAAGCCAGGCTGGACATCTCATTCAAGTTGTAAAGCCCCATGAACAAAGAAGTCAAGCAATTGCAATGACTTTCCTGAATTGAAAGAAACAAAATCAACAATAATAACAACAAAAACAGTGTGGAGAAAATCAGCAAAGAATACCATGAATAACCATGATGCAAAGTATACCTATCATGATCACCAAGTGCAGGATACCTGCCATCACTACTGACCAGTGGAAATAATGTTGGGACAACAGAATTTTAATTCTCTTAGGCAAGAAAAATGTTTTGCAAATTAGGTTTCCATGGTTCTTAAATTTTTGTTGTAGCCATCTATATATACTGATTACTTGATGCATTTAAATAGGTATCCATAGATTTACTATCTAGTCATGTCATTTAGCTCATTTTGATGCAATTGTTTCTTAACTCAGAATCAGTGCCAACAGGTACCAGCCTCCCCAGCCTTCCATTTAGCAAGCATGAAATATGACCCTAACTTGAAAAAATAAATTATACATTCCATCAGGACTGTGTTTCTCATCAAGAAATTGCTGAATATATTTTGACATTTAACCACTACACAAGCAACGTCAGCTTGTAAAAACTGAATGTGAATTTTTTGTCTTAATACCACCATAAATCAAAGTATTCATGGCTATTCTTTTCTTTTGAATCAATGTCCCCACTCAATTCTATCTTTGAAATCAATACAGATGAATTTTTCTGTTAGAATTAATACTACAAAGAAAGTCTATCACAATAGGCACTGGTAGCAAAGTGCTTCTTTACTAGTTATTGAACAGTTAATCTTTCAATGAAAAACCCAAGTAATTTGCTGCAGAAAATGAAAAAGGGGTGGGGACAAGAGAAAGAAAAAGAGAAAAGGCAGGATACACAGTGTGCTGCCATTTTGACTATCTCCAAATGTCATGTTTAAAATAATCTAAGTACGGCAATCTATACAGGCCAATTTCTGTTCTTTTATAACAACAATCATTGGCACTGACATGCTGCCGGTCCTCAAAACACTAAAAACAATTTTTACATATCCCCATACATAACCAACTGCCACAAGTAGCTCTGACAAGCCTGTGATTCTTCTCTGGGCAATACACCTCATGCTGTGAGAGGCTGAAGACGCCAGAAGTATCCTGTATGCACTGTGATATATTCATCCTATTGTAGACTCTTGTAAATGTTCCTAGTCCAGCACTGCAAGTTTCGTGGGAAGGTTTCTGTGTATAGTTTTCCAACTCTGTTGGAATAATGAGTTCAATAGCAGTGGAGATGGACAAGTAAGTCTTGTAGAAACACTGGATAACTAGTAGTGAAGTGGTTTTTATATGGTATCAAGGTCCAGCAGAGGCTTTCATTGCATATTGAGCATGCTAGTTTATATAAGCTGGTGGATCAAGAAGTTACATTCTTTTATGAATACCTCAATATACATATTCTAAAAAATGACACTCAAGAATGTCAGAGAACCAAAAATTCTGGCATAGTCACAGCAGAGACACTAATCTGGCATTCTGTGCTTCAAACAGAAATGAGTAATAGTCCTGAACAAAACTACAAGTAATCTAGGAGCTAAAGAATGAGTTAGTCAGAGCAAGGAGCCCTATCTAAGTGTTATAAATCTAAAAGTGAAAGAGTAAGAGATATTTCACGAATCACTCAAGTTAATTGATTCCTGTGAGTATAAATCTCAGTCATTCCTTGTGACAGAGACAATATTCACTGGAAAAGGAGGGAAATGGAATGTTCCCATGAATCTGATATAGGGAGAAAGCTACTCATCAAAACTTAAAAGCAGAAAAAAGTGCTTTTTTACACAGCCATGCTCTTTGTGCTTTACATTTGGGACTGAAACTAGTAATTCTTTCTCTTTTCAGCATTTGTCTTACTTCCATATTTGCAAAGGGAAGAAGTGGGTCCCCAAATCCCTACCATCAAACCCAAGAATTTTAATTTTTGAATAATATTTTTAAACTTTTTAATGCACTTTTTTATCTTTAAGTAATTGCACAGAGGTTTTGATTCAGCCTATCAGTTTATGAGTACAGTGCATCTTTTTGAATATATTTTCATTGTAAAAATACTGCAGAGAGGGGTTACAGTTACATGAGCCAGGTAATGAGTACATTTCCTATTGCTACTCCCTTCTTTGTTTTTCCCCTACTATCCCTTCCCTCCCCACCTTCCCAACTCCTCTCACCTCCCCCCTCCCCAAATTATGAAGCTTGTTTTCAACATAGTGTCATGTAGGTCTCATTGTTACAATGGGTCAACTTGTATCCTTGTTTTAGCATTTTGTTATTTCCCTTCCCCTCCCCAAATTAGAAAAATGTATATACAAGATGCAGGGCACCAGAATCAAATACAATGACAAGAGAGGTTATACCATACGTTAAAGAACATACCAAAGAAACAAAAAAATCACATAGTACATTAAAAGCAACTGCAACAAAGAAAAAAAACTCTTATGTCCATTTCTTGGGGTTCATTTCACTTACCATCATTTTATATGGTTATTTGACCTTTTCTGCTTGACTGATAAGATTATCCTAGATGTATACTAGTTATTGCAAATAAGGGAAACCATGGAATGTATGTTTCCTTGGGTCTGGCTTACTTCACTTAATATATTTTTTCCAAGTCTTTCCATTTCCTAACAAATGGGGCAATGTCATGCTTTCTGATGGAGGCATAGAATTTCATTGTAAATATATACTACGTTTTCTTGATCCATCATCTACTGAGGGCAGCTGGGTTGGTTCCATATCTTAGCTATAATGAATAATGCTGCGATCTTGATATATGTCATCCCTTCCATAATCCTCATATCTCCCAATCCCAAGCATGCCCTCAATTGCGTTACTTCAACTTTACACATGGACATCAAATATTATGACTAAATTTTCCTATACTTCCACTCCCCGAGATTTTGATGTCTAAGATTCCCTTTAAATTACTGCTGTGGAATATTTTATCTTCAAGTCACATGCTGAGCTTCGTTAAAGATGAGAAACTTCTATGGAAATACAGAGACATTCAATACAAATAATTGACCTTTCCTTAGTCTTATGTTATTAACACAAAAATTATAATATGCATTTATATGGACATTGTAATAAATAACTTCACACATAATAAGGATGATTATGGTTTTAGAAATATTACCTTATTAATATCAATCTTACAAATTCAAGTGTATTTTCTTGATTACTAGAAGGAAAAGCATCTCATAAAAGAGAAAGAAATCTATAAGGAGAACTCTATCAAAACAAAAAACAAAACATAGAGACATAGCTTTATACACAAAGGTGTGGAAAACCAAATTTACTAGAGCAGGAAGACAAG